TAAGCCCGGGGTAGTGCGGGCGCGGGGCCGGGGGGGGGGCTCAGCGGGATGGGGGGGGGGGGGGGGGGGGGGGGGGGGGGGGGGGGGGGGGGGGGGGGGGGGGGGGGGGGCGGGGGCGGGGGCGGGGGCGGGGGCGGGTGTGCGGGGCTGGCTGAAGTAGCCAACTGTGCACCTCCCCACAGAAAAAAAATAGGTCCCACGTATTCCTTTTGAATAGTCTTTTTCGCAGAGGACCCCGGCAGTACATATGCAAGGGTCCCAACATCTCAAGAGATGTTCAGCCAATTTCGGACGACAGAAGAGCAGGCCAGCAATATATGTTCTGGATCCGAAGTCAGGTCTGCTTTCGAGCAGTTATGGTTTACAAGTTACAACTACTTATTCTTTTGTTTCCTTTTCCTACGAGCAGTGGCCCTAAGGGCCTTGCTCCACTCGTCACCAGCACAAAAGACAAAACATATGGAGGTGTATGTGTTCCATGTTCTAGCAGAAGATTCGTTCCTCAATTTCTTTTGTTTCCATTTCCTACGAAAAGTTTTTGTTTTTTTGTTTTTTTGTTTTTTTGTTTTTTTGTTTTTTTTGTGTGGTCCGATGGCCTTGCTTCACTTGTCACCACTTGCACAAAAGACAAAACATATGGCGGCGTATGTGTTCCATGTTTTGGCAGAAGATTCATTCCTTTATTTCTTTTTTTCCTTTTCTTACCACAAGTGGCCCTAAGGGCCTTGCTTCACTCGTCACCACATGCACAAAAGACAAAACATATGGCGGCGTACGGCGTGCTCAGTGGTCCCATAACTGCTGAAACACGGACCTTAAAGTGAATCAACAGCATATATACTTGGCGAGCCATGCCTTTAGCATGGCTATGATTACTACCTCGCTCATAGCAATGTGGCCCTTGCTGATTGTGTGCAGGGCCCTCTCGGATAATCTGCAGGGGGTTTGAAATAAATATTAATAAGGAGCTATTTGTTTACTTTTTTTTTCTTTTTTTTTTTTTGCCCATCGGTGACCAGCATATTTGCGCCGCAGGTGTGCTCCAACCCCACCCCCCCATGCCCCTCCCCCATCCCGAGAACTTTCTCTGCGGATTTGGGCTGTACTCAGCAAGGGCAGTAAGGCTGCGCAATCAGAAAAAAAAAAACCGCAGTGGATGCCTGCTTTCTGAGTGCGGGGTGCGGGTGAGAGACTTCAGTAGTAATAAAGACGTCGAAGTCTCGGGGGTGCGGGGCG